TGGCCCACCTGTGTGTGATCAATGCCCCACCGAGTCAAAGGAGGTGGTGGTTGGATTGGTCTAAGATTTCCAAGACTTGCGTCAGGAGGTTTCATCAATTGACATTGGTAGCAGATTCGAAGAACTTTGTATACTGCTAATGTCATCTCTGGGTGCCAGTATCTTTGACTTGCACTTCGTAAGGTTGTTCCCACTGATGCATGCCCTTGGCTTTCATGCAGTAATTTCATATTTTGAAGTAAATCCTCGTACTCTAGTACTTCAAGAAATATTAAAACTCCAGGAGGTTTGGGAGGGTCGCCAAATTTATTTGCTCTGTTGGTTTTTATCAAGTGCAATTTTTTGTCATATAATCCAAAATGTTTTCGAACCCAATCAGGATGAAGTTTATGAGGTAGTTCTTCTTCCTGTACGAGAAATTCGAAGATGCATTGAAAATCAATTCGGTTTAGCTGTTCTGGATATTCTACCTGTTTCAGTTCTGGTTCATCTTCTGTCAGATATGGATTGTTGCCTTCCTCCTCTCCTGCAGGAAATAAATTTGTGGTATTAATTAGATTATCATTATTGTCATCAGTGTTATTGTTGTTATTAATTGGAGGCCTTGAGAGATAGTCTGCAAGCACATTTGCCTTTCCTTTGCAATATATTATACGGATTTCATAGTGTTCTATTGAGTCTAAAAATCTCAAAATTCTTGCTGGCTGCTCTGACTTAGTTTGTATTTATTTTAGTGATTGATGGTCAGTGATAACAGTAACCTCACCACCTTCGATCCAGTGACGCCAATGCTGTAACAAAAGTAGTATACATAGCAGTTCTCTCTCTTGTGCTGAGTATCTTTGCTGAGTATCATTCAGTTTCCGCGAAAAGTATGCTACAGGGTGTAAAAAAGAACGTTCTGAATTTTTTGCATTTAAATGAGGCTGCAAGAGCACAGCACCAATGAACCTTTGCAATGCGTCTGTTTCTAGGATTACGGGGAGTTGCCATTTGAATTTTTTCACCAGTGGAGTAGTTGTAAGAGCTTTTTTGATCTTGTTGTAGGAATCAATTGAATCTTTTGTTAAATTAACCGACTGATTCTTTTGGCCGACGGACTGATCTGTTAGAGGACTAGCCAGTTCAGAAAAGTTTTTAATTAAACATCTTAGATAACCCACAGCACTTACAAACCCTCGTACTTCAGAAGTTGTTTTAGGGAGCAGTCTATCTCGAATAGCAGCGACTTTTTCAGGATCCGCGGCTATGCCGTTTTCCGAAATTAAAAAGCCAAGGAAAATTCCGGATTTAACAAAAAGTCGACATTTTGAAGCATTTAAAATGAGACCGTAAGAAGTGAACCGATTTAAAATTAGCATTAGGCGGGAGTGTAGCTCTTCAATAGTATCTCCCCATATGGCTACATCATCAAGCAGTCCAGCAGCAAATGATCGAAAGGGGTCGAGAACCTTTTCCATAAAATTTTGAAATGTTGCTGGCGCATTACACAGCCCAAAAGGCATCACTAACCATTCGAAAATTCCAAAAGGTGTAACAAATGCAGTTTTCTCACGATCTTGTTCGTGCATTTTCATGTGTCAGAAACCGTTTTCTAAATCCAAAAAAGCGTAGTATTTGTGTCCAGCAACACGCTGAATTTCGTCATATGTATTAGGTAGAGGATGGGCGTGTTTTTTTGTGATTCTATTCAGTTCTCTATAATCAACACAAATACGCCATCTGGTTTGGTTACTCTTATTGTTTGTTTTCTTTGGAATAAGAACCAATGGAGCTGCCCAAGGTCCTTCACTTTTTTGAATAATAGTACCTTCGTGTGATTTGCTGAATTCTCTATTAGCTAGCTGTTGTTGAGGTTTATATTGTCGCGGCGGAATTTTGATCGGAGCGTGATTGCCAGTATTAATTTGATGGCTTACATTCAAAAGCTTGTCAACTTGGAGAAGTGACTTATTGAATAGCGAGGGAAATTTTCTCAAATAGAAGTTACCAAAGTTAGAGCCTACTGTCGAAGTAGTTTTATGCCATTTAACAGTGGTTGTCTCAGAACTCGGAAACGAGTGGTCAATTGATCTCGAGATATTTGAAATAGGTGCTAGGATTGGTTTTTCTTGCATTTTGAGAAGTTGCAGTTGACCATCTTTTCGAAAGAGTAGTCCCAAGGAGTGAAAGGTAGTTTGACCAAGTATAAGGTCGCCTGGAAATGTTCCATCGGGAATTATCCCTGCTGAAACCGAGAAAATAGGAGACCATTTATTGACAGAAGTCAGAAATTGAAGATGGATTAAAACATCTTGGATAATCTTAGGGCCTTGGCCACCAATGCCCGAAAGGGTTGAAATGAGAGACTTGTAGGGTAAAAGATTTTTAGCGAGAGAGGTGGAAATGTAACAAGTAGATGAGCCATAATCAAAAAAAGTATGAAATTGTGAGTGAGGGAAGGAAGAAAGTTTAGAAATAAAAAAGTTATGAGGCCTTCCAAATCCTTCCCTTATTGGATCTTTGGGGAAAGTTTGGTTATTTTTTACTGCGCCTACGGCCGCAAAATAGGCGTCTTGACATCCCTATTGGCTTGTGTCTGTAATTTCCAGTTTGTCAATTAAGGCGTTTAGTTCATTTTCTAAATTTGCATCTTCTAGGGTTGAGTACGGATCCCCTTGACTCTTTTCGTCTCCATTTGGATGCACTAGATAAGATTTGATTCCATTCCGGTTGTGTCCCCTATTTGAGCGACGTCTTGAGTCTCGAAGGTGAGTTAATTTATCTCAGAGTTCGTAGTACTTCCCATAAAATTTATTGCCAGTATGCTTCGACCAACTGGAAGGCATCTGTTTGTTTTTTTGATTCAGAGATATAGGACATTTATTTGCCCAATGCCCTTTTTTACCACATGTATAGCAGTTACCGTCAATGTTGGCAAAAGATTCTTCTTCGCATTCTGACATTTTGAACGCTGGGGCTTCAAGAGACGGTAAGTCCACATGTTCTATACTATCGAAGATCTTTGGTTTATTGCTTAATGGCATCTTATCTTCTATGGGCCATTTCATTATCTGCGAAGCAATCTGTACAACCATCTCTATAATTTCTTGATTTGTCGAGGAATTTGTATGAGGAAAAGCTAAGGTCCATATTTGGGGCAGGTTATTTTGAACTAACTCCTTTAATAGGTCCCTAGTGGAATCGGAAACACGATCAGTTCCGGAAAAGTTGTAGTATGCGTCACGTAAACGCCACGCAAAAGCGTGTGGTGATTCGTCCTTTTTTGGGTCAAAAGCGAAAACTTAGTTAGAGGACTATGGAGGACATTTAATCTCTTCATTTTCGTGAAAATAGCTTCCAATAGAAGTATCCATGTAGGGCGCTTGCCTGTAGCCCAGGCTCGCACTCCATGAAAATCGCCACTCATCTTTATTGTGACTCTTTGAGGCCATAAATGATATGGGATAAGTGCCATTTGTAAAGCATTTTGGATGCTTGACAATTTGCGAAATACTTCTGAATCTGCAATAACAAGTCGCTATTCAGGTCTTAGGATAACCTTGTTTTTGACACTTGTAAAAGCCTCGTCCTGCACATCGACCGGAAATATCGCCTCTGACCAAGCTTTCTTAACAAATATCTCCTCAGGAGTGAGATAAATGTTGCTTTCAACATCTTCTGACAAATCAATCCTCCCAAATTCTGTTCTTTTCACGCCCGATTTTTTGATGAGTTCGGGGGTTGAAACGGGAGAATTTTCTTCATTCTTCCCCTCTTCTTTCTCTATTCTCTTGCCCTTAGTATAAGACTCCATCTTATTTTGAATTTGAGAGTTCAACGTGCTTTGTATCTGAAGGAGAATTCTTTCCATGTTGGAGTTTGCATCCTCCATTCTGTCCAACCGCGTCTCTATTTTATCGATTCGGCTATCCATGTTCATGTGGCCGAGATCAATCGCTTTTTCTAAACTCTTAAAACGAGATTCAGTTTCGGCGAAAGTTTCTTTCATTTTCTTGTTGAGCGAGAAAATGTTAGGATGGTTAGTCGACAAAGATGACTGTGGTGGGTTGGAATCAGACATTTTTCTAAAATCTAGTGAGAGTTTTTCTCTTCAAAAATAATTATTTTTGAGGTTTTAAGTTCCTAGGATGCTAGATTGATAAAATGTGAATATATGGAAATCATAGGTCACGATGTCTCGGGATTTCTACTATATCTTCTATATAGTGAAATCTTAAGACGGTGTGTGACTCCCCCTCTAAATTTACAGGATGTGTCTAGTATATACAGGTTTCCAGCTTAGTGTGCATTATGCATGAAAACTGGGGTACACGTGACAAATTATAATACAATATTTTTGATCATGGATCCTCACTGGACGCACATCACTCTGATGGCTACCGAGGTGCAACAGCATATAATGTGACGACGGTGTATAGCTCTGCAATCCCGGGAGTTCCACACTAGCAACCAGTGTCAATAGTATGTTATGACAGGAGATATTGGCAGGGGCTATGGAAGTGGTTACTGTGACAGAAGTAGGAAGCACCTGTGGTGAGTGCGTGATCAGGACTGGGGTACTGAATGTATATATAAGGAAGCAATACTTCCGCAGATAGATTGTAAATCAACCATCTCACTACTGTCCATTCCAACGCTTCTTCTCACTACAGCCATATCAATTATATCCGCGCATCCATAATCATTTGCATCCATTTCAGGTATTCCTCTGTCCCCTCATGACCTCGTTATTATAACAACCATACGTGCGGTAAGCCTGTGACATTAAGTCCCTTAAAGCTCTAGCCTGCCAGCATTTTCAGTTCGAATAAAATCATGCCATTACAGCTGCATACCTCTATTGCATAAAGAAATGGGAGGACGATAAATGAGACTAGTGCGGCCGGAGTGGGCGACAAACAGTTTGACATATTGTGCTAGACTGCTGAAAATGGAGGAAAGAAAGAAACAGGATGTGGAAGCAGGTGAGAGAAGAGAAATTTTCAACTAGTAATGAAATGAATATAGCTCTAACCTTTACAGATAGAAAGGCAACAGCCGGATTGCTAAAGTTTCTGGAGGTAACAGAAGTGGGTAAAAGAGTCTCGGAACAGGGGTAGGAGCAAGACAGGATATAACGATTCGATGAGCTTGAATAGAAAGGGATTGATAGTGAGAATAGAATGGAGGGGTGTTTGAGGGAAGCTTCTTGACCAACACATAAATAGACACGGCAGTAGTACAGAATTGCGGAAGGAAGGAGGGCTGCTCCCAGGAGAGCCAGAATCCAGATGCCCGGCTCACCTTGCGAGATGGAGGGCGAGAGTAGAAGATGCTATTCATCAAATGCGTGGAAAAAGAGATCGGGAGAACACTTTTGTGAGGAGAAGTGTAATTTGTCACTTTACTCGGTCGTGGGTAGTTAAGTGTGGCATAGCTAGTTTAGGCTGGATCTACTACAAATGATAAAAATTTTAAAAAATATTTCGGACTCCTTCGATTTTTGGAGTTGAGTGCCTCTTTATTTTATCATTTAATGTGCGTTCAGCTGTAGAGCTATGACACATGACCGGTACTATGTGTACATGTTGGATGACTCTAATGACGTTAGAGACACTCATTCTCTGGATTTCATTCGCAGATACCACTTTGAGGTATGCTAGCTTACACAAACAGTCGACACTCCTACGTAAGCGTTGAAATTGGTGCTTCCAATTATGGTAAAGACAGGGATGTGTAGAAGACACGTCACTAATCTCCCATTAATTGTGAGGTTAGTATTAATGCGCTTTGACGTAAATACCAACCACTAGATTTTATTATTACAAAATATAGTTTATATAGCACTCTGTGTCCTAGTGGGATTAATTAATAACTCTCCACGACAGATTTACAGACTCCTTTACTTTTCCATTCGCTTCACCAAGTGATACAATCTGTGCCTAACAGCCACAAGCTTTTGCAAACCAATCCGCTCAACAGTAAGTACCCAACAAAGGGAATTTCGAAACCTTTGAATGTCCAAGCATGTCTTCGTCGTCTTTGCATACCAGCGCCGCGAGAAATGTGATTGCGTTTTGCTGGATCTGAACCAGCGATCTACTTTCTTGGGTGGGATATGTGTCCAAGTTATCCAGACTCTACTTGGTAGACCTACCAGGACGATGTACCACCGCACCATCTAACCATGGTGGTGTTTATAGTGTTGCCTGCACTCTCGCAACCAGAGTCTTGGCATGCACAAAGCTCGATTTGTAAAAACCCCTTGCCAAAATTTGAGATTTCACGTCTGTCGAGACTGTATTCATCCTCTACATCATCTTATTAACTTATCCTAATCCCTCTCACGTCCATCCAAAGAACTGTCTCCTAGATTTGTGCGCCACGCTTTGTGTCCTCCGTCGGGTGTAAATATCGGCGTGGGCGTGTATTTGGCGACCAGCTGAGGCCAGAGAAATTCGACAAGAGGTGTGATCATTGGAATGAGGATGTACTTGGTCGTACTTGTAGACTTGATGTGGCTTGGATAGGATTCGAACTCGTTGGTAGTGTAAAATTAACGTGGTGGAGTATCGTAAATCATTGCCTCGAGGGCCAACTTGATTGGTATTGCGAAGTTTGACTGAACTTGGCTCTGGGAGAATATTTCACTCCCAGGTTCGTAGAGGAAACCACGTACAGGTGTACAGTCGTGCCCTTCAGTTGAGTGCCTCCAAAACTAAAGCTATAACCTTTGATGTCCTTCTCCACATTTGGGACTAGTTTAGTTTCTCGTAAAAAAATAATCAATCAAACTTTTACCGAATCATCGTGCAACTCGATTTAATCGATTTTCTATGCCTCTACATCACAGCTGTCTTCCTGCCACTTTTGATTCCAATAGTACTGTTGATTAATTGACATCGACTCATCCTACCTTTCCATCACCTTTACACTTGACATAAAATTTAACGTTCTTCGGGGCGAAACATCAAACAAAATCTATTGAAAAACTTACGATCTACACTTCCTGCAAAGACGTTGTAGCCATCTTACACAAGTTAATGCAAGAGGTAAATCACACAAGCTTTACGTCTTTCAACTGCTTTCCTATGTAGATGCTCACGTATTCCAAGAACTTAGGGAAAGATTTTTCAAACAAAAGTGGCGATCTTCCCATGATGGAAGCGATCGATAACGTCGCAGTTGACGACGAGCCTACAACACAAGAAGCTGAGCAGCGTATACGCATAGTACGTACACTTACGGATATTTGTCTTGAAAAATCTTCAGCTCGGTCAAACGAACAGTCATACTAATAATTTTGTAGCTCCCAGGCTCAAATGAAACAGCAGCTTCGTTCGAGTTCAAGAATGAAGATCATACACTCGGTAATGCGTTGCGATACATAATTATGAAAAAGTAAGCAGATACTATCTTAGTTCACTTAAAAATGAGGAGGTTTTCACACAAACCCTACCTTCGCTCGGTCACGAAAAACTATTATGCTTCATTAGACTAATGCCATTAATTATAGCCCCATGGTTGAGTTTTGCGGCTATTCTATCGCTCATCCCACGGAACCCTTCATGAACGTGCGAATACAAACATATAGTATGCAAACAATAGTAATTAACAAAATTACGCACAATGACTAACTGGCATCAAGGTGGTTCAAGCGCGATTGAGGCACTAGAAAAGGGCTTTAATGACCTAATAGACTTGTGTGATATAGTCGCTGATAAGTTTATGGCGGCAAGGCAAGACTTTTCTGACAAAATGGAACTATAAAGCTTTTCACCATTATAAAGTTGTTAGATAAAACAAGTATAAAGTGCAAATAATATCGAACAAAATTACGATGGGAAGGAGTGGTAGGAAGACAGCTTTAATGTAGAATTGTAGGAAGTAGATTAGCCACAAAGATACATGATGAAAACGTACTGAATATTCATGCCCATGTGTCCGTGTAATCACCAACGTTCAGTAAATGCCTTGCCATTGATTTTGAATTGCGATTCTTTCCAGAGTAGAAATTGTGGAAAGCGCACGACCTAATTATGGTTGCGTTTTGACATTCATCATGTGAGATCATTTTTGAATTGGAGCGCCATCCATACCTCTAGAAATAAATAATCGAAATTACATAGGATGAAGTTTGCAATAATCTTTTACTGTAATATACTTCTGCACATGGCCTAGGTGCTTTTAACAATTTATTTAATTAGACAATTCGTCTCCATCCAAATTCTTGCCGTATTTTTGCTTCACATTTGCGCCGCGTGAAAATCGAGAGGATACATGAAATTGATTTCTAGAGCCTAAGATTGTTACTAGGTTGTGATTTCGTTCTTCTCAACGTAAATTGACATTATGCTATTGAACTTCATATCGATAAAGTATGAAATGGGCATGAGGCCGGATCACGCACAGTATATATCTGGCCCCGGTATCCCCTATCATCTTTCCTGTGAGCGCCGAACCAGTTTAATATCAATTTTTAGGACGGGTGGTATACTACTCGCATAAGTTTACTTGGTCTATTGATAGAGAGGACCTGTATGTCCTACATATTCTTAGACTGATAAAGGACAATTTTATAAAATAAAAATTACTTTTCACTGTGTCAATAAATGTAAGGTCGGGATACGATACTCAAAACCCCCTGAGATGTCCCCTAAAAAGCTCCAGATATTACTACATAGCCTGCGGAGCCACGCATGAATCAAACTTTTTCAACCTTAAGCTGGGTTGTGTCTTCCTCCTCAAAGATAAACTTTAGACACCACATACAATTATGACGAAGATAATGACGCTGGAAACGAGGAGCTTAAGTACGGTTCCAAGCACTAAAACTGTGATTGGAAAAGTTCTCATACTATTATAAAATTTGCTACCAAATGTGAAGGCTGGTAAGCCGATAGATTGCCTGTAGCCTGTGATATTCAGTAGAGGCACATTCATAGTATCAAAGCTAAGTTACACGCGTATTGAAAGTCTGGCACTGCATGTGCACAAAATATTGTTGGTAACTAACCCACACCTGGATAATGGGAATCCGACTGGAGAACAGCTACTAGTGTCTGGAATATTGGAATCATGTATGTTAAAAGGGCGTTAGATGTAGCAGTAATTTTTTTCATCAGTTAATAAATAAACTTACCTTTTGACTTACAAGCGCACATGCTTTTTGTCAGAACCGTTACATATTTATTAACTCCTCTCATCAGAAAGTCTAAACGTTCAGTTAATTCAGCTAGTCCAACTTGTCAGACGCGTTAATACGGTAAGAATAGATTGGCATACAAAAACAGATCAACAAACTCCAAAATTCTATCTTGGCCAGACAACAGACAATTCAATTCGAGCGAGTCGTCATCAAAAAAGACCTACCTACAGAGGGGCTGGGACTAAGGCCTTGCTACTATAGTTTGATGGTAATAGAGTCAATTATTAGTGGTGGAGAACAGTGATCCTAGATATTTTAGAACGAGCTGGTAAGCTCTCGTCCACGACAATCCATGGGCATTTGTTTTGATTTGTATCACACTCAAAGGCTCTGCATTGAAGAAAGCCGGCTCATTTTATGAGGTAGGAGATGTACATGGAAGACGGGAGCCGGAAGACTCCATTGAATTCTTAGACAAATTATATTTTGGTCCACCAAGAGCTGTAAGGCTAGGCAGGGAGTTATATGCTATGACAATGTCTGAGGGCCAGCGTTGGCCAGAATTGTTCTCAGATTGGATAAATAATTTGACAGAAGCACAAGAAGATAATTGGGATGATACTGTGGATGTTACGGGAATATTCCCTTGTGTGTGTACTGTCCGCACCAGTACAGTAGAGATGGAATCTAGGGTCTAGTCAGCTATAGAGACTACCAAGGGTGGAGATTGGAAACGGTTGCTAAGCAACGGAGACTGTTACAATCAGCGTCGTTAATTAAAATCCCTTATGTGAAGAGCAAGATGTAGGAGATCTTCCGTCTTTAGATTTCGTTAATTAACTGATTTTATTCAGGACTTGCTCTGCTGTATACCAATGTCACGGTTCGAGTGTCGATGCGGGAGCAATCAGATATACAAAGGTAGTTTATAATTTTCTCTGTGGCTAACTATCAGAGTATTACTTCAACAATTTATACATCTATGAAGAACTCTAGAATACTCGTTCTTGACTGATATCTGCTTCTCGTATATTCCAGTCATAGTAGTTCCCAGTCTTGCTACCAATTACTAGAATATTCCAGTCACAGCTGAACTGATCTGGAATAAAGCTAGACTACTGTAGAATTATAGAAGCACGTGAATACAATAACGTATCACACAACGATTGGCTCACAAGTCGTAACAGCCAACACCAATTGATCCGGCAACAGTGGATCCCAATTGATTAAAACCCGACCGTGTGCATTTTGTGCTGCTGGTTGGCTCACCTGGTGTGGGGGAATAATTAAATAAATTGGCGATCCAGTTGTAACATTAATGTAGAATTCTCAAAGCTGAAGTAGGCTTGTTTTTATTATTTTTATATTAAAGTCCTAAGCTAAAGCTCTAGGTCCACTATAGGTACAAGACTGGTGGAGCCGGTGGAGATCACTGCTGACAGGCCCAACTTATTCCAACTGCAAGACCCACCACAGAAAAAGTAGAAGGTAAATTATAACTCAGAAGAAACCACCTACTCTGACTCCGAAATCGAGACTCCATATTCAAGAATTGAATATGGCCTTGATAGCATTGATGATCAGTGGATAGAATTGTTTGATTGTCTATTGTCCTGTTCTATTCTCTACCTAATGTCTCCATATTACCACGTCTAAATACCAAGACACTAACGCCACATATTCCATTTCTAGCCCCTGCATCACCATGCATGTCTGTAAAAAACACCTACAGTCAGACCCCTGTTAAGAAAATCCTCGTTAAGACAATATTTTTTCCAGAACAGACTTTGTTCCCATACATCAACCAATTACACAATTATTGTTCTTCAACCTTTGAATATTGTCTTAACCAGGGTTCTTTTGTTAGATCGGTGCTAATTATGCCGCCAAAAAAGGGAATTTCTGTGGAGCAACAATATCCTTCATATGACAATATTTTTCACGGCCCCAATTACATTGTCTTAACAGGGGTTTGACTGTACAAAGCAAACCATATCACTCCATCCTACAACCCTAAAGTCAAGTACATAAAAATTTCTTCAGGGAAATAACACTTCTCGCATTGATTCCTTTTGTGTCATGCGTTGTGGCAATGGCTAGTTTGTCTGATCCATGCTGAGAGCAGTGGATGAGTGGGTGGGTTGGCTATCAAAGCAGCCGGTTTCCTGCGCAAGTTTTTTGAAGCTATTATGGCACTTGGGCCCGAGAAGCTTTTTGACAAAGTCAATGTGGGACTGTGACGGCTGTTAAGCCTTAGGGTTCCTGTAGCCTACGCTGTCTAGCGCAGGCAATTATACGAAGGGAGGTTCCTGGGAAGATCTTGGATGACAGGGAACCTAGATGATTCACATTGAGCCTTGTTGAAACCTACTGAGAGTTCATGAGGGTTACAGAAGTATCAAGGATCTACAGGCGATTGTCGGAGAGTCTGAGTTGACAGGTCATAGAGAGAACCTTATCGAGGAGGGGTATTTCAGTCTGTATATATAGGTAGTCATTAAGTACAGAAATTCTCTCTTCAGAGAATTATAATTAAAATATTGTACCTACAACATTGCTCATGCATTTTGTAATGAAACCGTGACAGGGACATTGACTTTCTAAGCTTACACGTTTGTTATGCGTGACGCCTACAGTAGATGAAGTGGGTTGGAGAAGTTTCCTTCCCACAAGAGCACTCCATAGGAGCGTGTGGATTTATAAAAAAGCAATAGTATGCCGCAAGATTGCCGTGACCCGTTTGTGTTGCAATTAGTGCCCGGAGGAGGTGCCTAGAGAGAGACGGTTCAGGTGGGTTGCGTCTTCGCACCTGTAGATTGAGTTGGCTGTATTTAGGCAGACAGGCATCTTCCCATCAGTTGTTTAGCAATCTTTGCCATCTAAAATTCATGAGGCCTCGAAGATATGCCAGAGTACTGGATACTGGTTGCGTATCTGGGCTAGGCAATTCTCGAAGTACTGCACGGGCAATGGCGTTTGCCTCTTCATTTCCTTGGAAGCCTGCATGCCCCTGAAACCCACTTTGCTGATATTTTTTCCTTGTTGGATGACGCACGTAATTTGCGCACATCTTCAAGGCTAGTTGAGGACGAGCCCGTCTTGTTTGTTTGTTTAGTATTTTACGTCTAGCTAATGATTATAATACACTAGTCCCGGATTGGAAAAGGACGCCAGAGCTTACTGCTCCAGAACCGGGGGTACCCAGCTTCCCCAAACAAAGAAGGGGCCCAAGATGAAAAACAGTGTCAGATGACTTAATACGTCACGCTGTCCACGGAAATTTATGCCTCCTAGAGGGGATGAGACCCAGTTATAGTGGGAAGAATATCTTCCCAATATGCTAAATTAAATTAAATCAGAAGAAAGGAAATAAAAGAAAATTTAGCCCATGAGCATTCTTTTATTCTATTTTTCTTTGAACTGCTGCTAAGCCTTGTTTATTGATGTCTCAAGAGGAATCCGGGGACAAATTTTGGTGAAGAACCGTGATTTTTCAAGCCATTGTGCAAGTTTTGATGCCCCTGTGGGGGTCCCGAGAAAGAACTTCCATTTGTCTGAACAGCCCCTGGGCGGTTTGAGGGGGCTTGATGCGATCAGTCTACAGTTTAGGAAATGTGCAGGA